CATGTAGTACCTATATATGTAATATCAAAGCAATCGGACTTGTGGTTTTTAACAAGAAGTCGAAAATATCACTTTTTACCAAAAATGACAAAAATATTCACCAAAATTAGAGAATTGAAGATATCATCACAAAATGAACAAATCTGAGAGCGGTCCACATGTAGTACCTATATATGTAGTATCAAAGCAATTGGACATGCGGTTTTTAACAAGAAGTCGAAAATATCACTTTTTACCAAAAATGATAAAAATATTCACCAAAATTAGAGAATTAAAGATATCATTACAAAATGAACAATTCTGAGAGAGGTCCACATGTAGTACCTATATATGTAATATCAAAGCAATTGCACTTGCGGTTTTTAACAAGAAGTCGAAAATATCACTTTTTACCAAAAATGACAAAAATATTCACCAAAATTAGAGAATTAAAGATATCATTACAAAATGAACAAATCTGAGAGAGGTCCACATGTAGTACCTATATATGTAATATCAAAGCAATTGCACTTGCGGTTTTTAACAAGAAGTCGAAAATATCACTTTTTACCAAAAATGACAAAAATATTCACCAAAATTAGAGAATTGAAGATATCAACATGAAATGAACAAACCTAAGAGAGGTCTACCCAAGGTACATATACACCAAGTATCAAAGCATTCAGGCTTGTAGTTTTCAAGAAGAAGTCGAAAAAGTAAAACATTGACACGGACGACGACGACGACGCCGACGCCGACGCCGACGACGACGGACAATCACTCATATGATAAGCTCCGCTCGACAAAGTCGACAGCGGAGCTAAAAATGAGATACAAATCAGTTTTGCAAGTTGGGAAATAAGGTAAACCAGATTGGGGTCGATGATATTTAGTATCGAAGGACTTCCGTGTGTATAATGAGTTTCAAATTGTTCATCGACTGGTCACCAAATATTTACGGCTACAACTAAATGAAAACTTGTTTTCTGAAGCCCAATAAATTATTTCTGCACGTCAAGTGCTATTCGATTTTTTACCAGGCCTGTGGCTCGTTTTTATTCGAAAATATTTTTTTTTTGAGAATACTTTTAAAGTACGTATAGATCGAGCTCAGGTCACTGATCGTTATTTAATTTTGAAAATTGGATGTAAAATTTTACCAGACCGACGCCACCACAACCATCCAATCATAGTTGGAAATGTACGCACTTGTTTTGGAACTTTGTATCAAGATGGCCGGCGACGCCGCCAGGCGGCGTTCGCATGTTTTGCATGTATTAGTAGTCCAGGCATGGGATCGGACTCGGCTAAAACTAAACGAAACACAGAAAAATACCACCAAAATGAGGAATCTGAATCTGTTCTCTTACCAGCAGTAATTTTATAACACGAACAGTTTCATTTCGTATAGCCAATTGTGTTGTTTCCGAACGACGATTGCATCGTGTGATTTAAATTTATCACGTTTTTCCTTGCAGTCAATATGACACTCGTCACCTTGCAGATTGCAATGTACTTCACATAGTTTTTGGTACCCAATACTCGCAACATTAAATAATTAAACAAGATATCTTTTTAAAATGTCATTTTACTCTTGGTCATATTATTTTATTCCCCTTACCGCTTTGAATTTCAAATCGATTACATATTGAACTTCTGTACATGTGTTTTTTCTCATGTGAAAATAATGAGGTCATACTCATGTCACAATACTTTGAAGCTGATGCCATGTTGATGCCATGGGACTGCGAAGCTGAGGCCACGATGATGCCACAAAATAAGAGAGGCGAACACAGCTTCAATTTTCAATGACGCGAAGCTGATGCCACAATGATGCGATGCTGAGGCGACAATGAAGCCATGCGTATGCGACAATGATGCCACAAAAGCCAAAGCTTCGGCGAGAACTGTACTGTAGCAGCATGCAGTCCTGGTACAGCAAACAGATGAGCATTTGAGGCAACAGTTGTATATAAACCTAAATACCTAAATTTACATAGTGACTTACCTGCTTTGTTAGTTAGGAGTGTAATATTAGATTTATCTAATTCTATCGCTTTATCATAATATTCTATGGCATTATCAAATTCTTTCTTTTTATAGGCTTCATTACCCATGCCTTTCAATTCAAGAGACTAAAAAGAAAAAAACCACAATAAAATCTATTATTACATCTGTCAAAATAACGTTACAACGTGTCGTAATTTTGTGGTATTTTACGGGGTATTTTCTACCATATAAGAAAATACGAATTCCAAATATGGAATGATTACGTGCATGAGCGCCCTCTAATAATATAAACAAACATGACTGCCACCAGGGTTTGACCGGACTCCACACAAAGAAGTTCGCTGATTCTATTTTAAACTTCTTGAAGTTCGGCATTCCCATGATGTATCCATGGAAGGAAAAGATGTATGAGGTATCCTCGCAATAAACTCATATTATTCCAATTACAGACAGACTTGGGTTGCAATAAAACGGTTTGAATGATAATTTAGCCACCACTAAATGTCAAATTAAAATAAATCATATCAGTTGAAACAAACCTTATAATAATTTTAGATAAAATACAATTATTTGAATTCTTTTCACCAATATAAGAACTGATAATGAACCAAATAGAATGTCAACAAGCACGTTCGTACAAGTACGTTTGTACAAGCACGTTCGTACAAGCATTGACAATTGAGAAGGTGCGTAGTATTAGAGAATGCTTTATGAATATTGTTACCTTCTTTTTATCAGGATCCATTTCTTCTGTGTCCATGGGTTCAGGTTTTTGTTTCTTAGTGGCTGGGGCAGCTTTAGGTTTTGAATCATTGTATGTTGGGGGTTCATCGTCTTCTGATGTCATCAAATTGACCCCCAAGAGCACACTAAGTGTTGTCATCACACGAGGGTCATTAATTTTACTGCGATATAAACAAGGAATACAAGTCATTGAAAATGACACAGTCCCCGTTAAATGTTTGAAAGTTCTCTTTGTGCTCGTCATATTAAAGCGAAGGGGTTGTCGCGAGCGTGTCCTTGAAACTTGAGTTCCAAGTGGCGTATACAACAGATTGTTTCTTTACATCAAAACACGTGTTCTGTGTAGTAGTAATATGGCCAAAAATAAAAACGGCCATTATTCGGCCATCTTTGATCTGATTATGAAACACACCGGTATGTATATGATGTATGTGCCAAATTCGAATGAAATTGGTACATAAATTGTGGAAATATAGTAGTAAGCCAAAGTCAGATGGCTGCCATCTTTGACTAGATTTGAACAATTGTCATGGACAAGCATCCTAACATGTATACGTACA